AAGTCATTCTACGCAATTCTATTTAAAGCCAGCCTATCCAATTCTGCATCTGATACCCTGACCTCATGCTCACTTAAGAACTTCTGTCTTTCATTTTTCCACACTCTTGAGATGTTATCAGTTTAATGAAAAAAAAAATACTCCATGGTGCTTACATTTTAGGGAGGAACGATAAAAAACAATACATTTTAAAATCATTTTAAGGACAGTTAAAGGTGATAAATGTTATGGATAACAGAAAAGGTAGGCCCAAGTAAAGGAAAGATGAATTTCTTGGTGAGATAGTGATAGCAAAAATATCTAAGGAAAATCCTCGTATGCTTCCAGCAGGAGGAGGAAAAAGGAATATTTTTAAATACACCACAGCACCTTATACTTAACTATGCTCACCCCCAGGAGAAACTAGTTAACCAGAGCCTAACCTTGAGGGTATTATCAGAGCCTAATTGACCTTAGAGAGGGGAAATGGCCAACATCAGTCCCCTCTAGCTTTCCACATAGGAGAAGAGAAATACCTAATTTCAGCCCACTCTAGCCATCCTGTCCCAACTTACAGAGGAGAAAAAAATTGAGAAACACTTGTGAAGTTCCCAGTGTAGAGGCAGAGCTTCACTAAATGAGTGAGACCCAATCAAGGGTCTGTAGTATACCTCCCCCGACCCTTGCCACCACATCACTAAAAGCTGATTTACAGCAGTTCCATTTACCCAGTACCTCGTGTCTATCTACCAAGAAAAAAAAAATACAAAGCATACAGAAAAGCAAAAATGCAATTTGAAGAGACAGAGCAAGTGTCAGAACCAGATGTGATAGGGATGTAGGACTTAACAGGCCAGGAATTTTAATAAACTATAATGAAAATGCTAGAGATCAAAAACACTAACAAAAATGGAAAATGCTTTTGATGGGCTTATTAGCAGACTAGACACGGCTAAGAAAAAAAAATCATTATGCTTGAGGATATATGAATAGAAACTTCAAAAACTGAGAAGCAAAGAGAACAAAGAGTAGGAAAAAAACAGCATATCTGAATATCTAAGTGTAAATGGCAAAAGCAGACCTTGGTACTTGAGTTCTGGCTAAGAAAGAATTCAGAGCCAAGACTCAAACACTCAAGAGAAAGTTTATTCAGCAAGCAAAGCAAAAGTACACTTGAAAGAAAGTTACAAGTGGGTGAATTAACCAGCTGTCCCAGGGTGTGGGTGACGGCTTCTTTAAACCCCTTGGAGGATGTTAAAGGCTTTCTTCATCCAGCTGAACTATTGGAGTCTGTCCTATTGCCTCCTGTCCTTATATGGAAGACAGATGGGGCTTTTCTCCAGTCCCCTTGTGCTTCTCTAAGAGTGGGGAAGTCTGCTGCCTGACTAGGTACATGCCAGGTGAGAAAAGTTCAGGGGTAGGATCTGATCCTCATGATCAAAGACAATCTAGGGTCGGAAAGGGTGCCCTAGGGGCGAGGTCTATATTAACAATATTTATTTCCAATACTTGTTCTCCCAGTTGTGTTTGTTGCTAGGCATCTGTTGCTAGGTGTCTAGGACTTTCTGCCATAGCAACATTCAGTACCTGGCCTATTGCCCTGCTCTGATCATGCCTCTCTGACTGCCTACCACATAGGACTGTGGGACAGCTATAAATGGTATTAACATGTGCACAATGGACATATAAGAAGGAAGGGGAAAGAAAGGAAAAAAAGAAATATTTGAAACAATAATTACTGAGAATGCCCCAAATTAATCTTAGATACGAAACCACAGATCTGGAAATGTCAGAGAATACAAGCACAACACATGCCAACAAAAACTATACCTAGGTATAATTTTTTCAAACTATAGAAAAATCAAAGGTAAAGAAAAAAATTCTAAAAGAAGCCAGAGACCAAAACAACACTCCCAAAAAGATAAGAATTACATATGAGTTCTCCTGAGAAACCCTGTCTCATGAAAATTGATGACCTTCTCCCAGGAACTAAAGTTACCAATCAGATCTCAGTGTGTGGAAGGCTTAACTGACAGAGAATGTCTCTACTGGTATTGGAACTTACTCTTTCTTTATAAAATCAGAAGAGCCACTTAAAGACTTAAAAGATAAACAAAAAAAATGTACTTCCCATTGAATTTCTGTCACTGCCTAACACAAAGAATCCTCTGAGAACATTTCTCACTATTAAAAACAAAACAAAAAATCTATCTTAATGCACATTGCATTACACCTACAAAGTCTGAAGGAAAAAAAGGAACATATATAAAGGAGACAGGGACAAAGCCAAAAGGGGGTAGGATCAAGTGTGGCAGAGAAGATTGGGCAGGGAGGGGGGAAGTGGTGGGGAGAAAATGGAGACAACTGTACTTGAACAACAATAAAAAAATAAAAATAAAAAAGAAAGTAGCCAGAAATTCACAGAAAAATTAATGTTTAAAGATGTTCAATGTTACTTTTAATTGCAAAAATAATGGGATCCAACTAATACATTCCATTGCAGAATAGTTAATAAATTATGGAGCATTTGAGCATTATAAACGCTTTATAAGGTAATTAATGTTCTTAGGAATTACAGTATAATTCCGATGGACAAAAAGAAACTAAAATTAATTGGACAAAAGAGAAAAATAACTAGACAGGCTCTAACTTAGATTGAAAAATTAGTGTGATTCTCTGAGTAGAAACACTTAAGCAGTATATAAAAAACAAGTAGAGTTATCCAAGTAAATATGATAGGAAGAGAATTCTCCTAAACAAAAGTGTGTTAGGTTATCAGAACTGCAATAACTAAAGCTAGAGGAAGACAGTTGGCTTGAATATATTTGCATATATTGGAGGAGAGCAATTAAGGAAATTTATAATTATCACTTGCTTCCTCTTGTTCTCTCCCTAACCCCCTTCCAATAGATTTTGCATCATAAATGTTCAAGAAATAATTTAAAAGACAGAAAATACTTCAGGTCTTGTACTAGGAAATGATGATCTTCATCGGTGACTTGTGATCTGAGACATGCTATGTAATGGAGATACAGAACAAAGTTATTTTTAAGGCAAAATCTGACTGGGAAGAAAGCTTGATCTTTCTACATAAAAGTAGAAAAAACTTCATTTTTCCTTGTCACACCTAAGCCAAAATTTTAACAATTCTTAGTAAAATGATGCTGTAAAATTTTACAAGACTGATAATTAACACTGTTAATTGCATATAATCTTTGACCTACCTATCTTACGTTTAGAAATTTATACTCTGGAAATGTTGCAACATCATTTGTATTAGGAATAAAAAGAAACAAACTAAATTTGTAACATTAGGAGAAACAGACATTTCTTTCTATGAAATGTGCTACAAAAACTGTAAAATTTAGTTTCATATGAATTATTTCAGAGAATATTTAGTATACTTTTCAAATTTCATCTCATTCGTATTGTGTCATTTTTAAGAGCATTTTGTTATCATTTCCAGTCTTTTAATAAGGATAAAACTTACAACTATGCATAAAAATTATAGACTCTGGGAAGTTGGGGGCAGGGAATGCAGAACCTTAGAAGAAAAAAGTGAGAAACTGAAGCATAGAGTTGCTGCAATATCTTCATTTTCCTTAATTCTTGACAAAGATATTATTCACCAATGTTAAGAAGTATTTCATGAAATCAGAGAATGTTGGAATGTAGAGTAGCCTTAAGAGAAGACATTGAGTCCAGCTCCTCAATTTATTTATTTATTGATATATTCATTCATTCATTCATTCATTTGTTCACTTTTGGCACAGATTGTAGCCTTTCAAAAATAAATTTTCATGATCAAATTGAACATTTTGGTTGTAAAACAAGTCCAACAACTTAGATGAGCATGACCCTCTTTGCTGCTTCCAGTATTACACTACTGAACTAACAATGCTAACAGTTCGGCCTGTAGCCTTCCGCACTTCTCTCTGGGATCATGTACATATTCACATACCAATATACTTTACACGTTAGATAGGTTTTACCCCACCTTTTTTTTTTATTTTTTTTTACAAATTATGATCAGTTGTACAGATTAAACTTTGACTTAATTATTTTCCATCTATCAATGATTATATCAGAAAACTTTCCCCAAACCAAAGCATGTACATCTTACTCTTTTTATAATTAGCTGCACCACATTTCAAAGAAAATATGTGTGTTTCTCTTAATAGTGCAGATTCAGGTTGTTTCCTTTTATTTCCTCTACAAAAGATGTTGTAAACATTTGTTTCTGGTATTCAGATTTTTATAGCATTGATTTCCAAATGTAATATAGCTGCTAGGTCAAAGCTTATGTGCATTTTAATAGAAATCACCAAATTACAAGTTATTTTCTTGAAGTGTAGCTATTCACACCTAGCTACATTAGTTATGTAAAAACTCTTATTCATATCCAAATAGTAACCTTACTAGCCTTGCACATAATCATTTTTGCCAATCTAATAGATAAAAAAACAAGCATTACTTTGTCATGTGATTTCATTTACTTGATCAATTGGAAAGTTGAGCAATTAATATATGACATATTTAATATAGAGTTATATATATTTAATTTAGGTCATTTGTATTTCCAATTGCATCAGTTAGCCATTCATCTCTTGCTTTATTTCTCTGCTGTGTTTCATTTTTCTACTGTGCTTCCAACACTTTTCTATTGGGATATTAACTCATTGTGAGTCACTTGCTTTGCAGTTGTTCTTTCACGTTCCACTGTTCAACTTTTAACAAGGTCTATGAAACCTTTATCAATGAATTCTGTTGATCTTTCCTATATAACATCTGCGTTCCTGTTCTGGAATAAAATATGTTCCCAAATATAAGAATATATAAAACTTCTCCTGGGGTTTTTTTTGGCATAAATTACTTCTTCTGTTGTATTTTCCATCATTTCACAGAGGAGAAGACTGATGTAAAAGCAATACAAGCAGTACTTTCAGTGCACAAGTGACTCGGTAACAGGCAGACAGGAATTTTCTGTTCTCTAATTTATCACACAATAAAGAATTGCACCATTACATTTTTCTTTCAAGCTTGCTCCTGAATGCATTTTTCACTTCCTTGTTCCTCACACTGTAAATGAGAGGGTTCAGCATGGGGATGACCACTGAATAAAAGAGAGAAATCACTTTATTGATATCTAGGGAGGAACCTGAGTCAGGCAGGACATAGCTGAAGAAAAGAGTCCCATATAGAAGGCAGATGGCGGCCAGGTGAGAAGAACAAGTAGAGAAAGCTTTCTGCCTCCCATCCGCAGTCTTGATCTTCAGGATGGCCAGCAGGATGAAAACATAGGAGACAGTGATGATCAGGCCACTGAACACCACAATAGCCCCAGCCATGATGAAAAGAACCAACCTATTGCTCCAGGTGTCAGCACATGCCAAGGACAGAACAGGCAGAATGTCACAAAAAAAGTGGTTGACTACATTTGGGCCACAGAAGGGTAAGCAAAAAGTGAAGGTCTCTTGAGTAATGGCATTTAGAATGCCTATGGCATAAGGTCCCACCACCAGCTGCACACAGACCCGCTGGGACATGATGACCGTGTATAACAAAGGGTTGCAGATGGCTACGTACCGATCGTAGGCCATGGCCGCCAGGAGGAAACACCCAGTCACCACAAACTGACCAAAAAACCACATCTGTACAGCACAGCCCATGAAGGAGATGACTTTCCTCTCCAGAAAGGTATCACACAACATCTTTGGAGCCACAGAAGAAGAGGAGCAGACATCCACAAGGGACAATTGGCTGAGAAAAAAGTACATGGGGGTGTGGAGTCGGGAATCTGTCCAGATAAGGGCCACCATCCCCAAGTTCATCCCCAATGTGACGAGATACACGAAGAGAAATAACAGGAAGAGAATTACCTTCTGTGAAAAACTTCCTGTTAAACCCACAAAAAGAAATTCAGTCACTATTGTTTGATTATTATTATTATTATTATTATTATCCATTTTGGAGTTGCAATCTGTAATAAGAGCAAAACAAATATTTTTTTATAGATCAGTAGCTAACAAAACCACATAGCCTTGGAGTCTATTAGCTATCATTAATATCTTTGTTCTTCAGATACTGTAAATACTTACTTTTACAGCACAATTTTACTTGTGTTCTTAGACCGAACAGCTCAAACATGTAAAAAGTTATGGAGATGTATATGTAACACCCTTGCATTTGCTGCTCATCTTAATCAAATCACAGTATGCTATAAATAACTTTTTTAAAAATCATGACATGTACAACAAGCATTCATGGAATTGGTCAAACTCTTGGATTCTAGGTATGGCAATTTTGCTAGTTATCTGCGTGACCTGGGCAATTTATACTTAATGTCTATGGATTTTAGTTTACTAAGGAAAACTTTACTATACTTTACTTTACTTTACTATGGAGTGATCACTTTACTAAGTGATTATCTCTGAATCCACATCTCAAGAAAACTGTAAAAATAAATAAAATGCACAAATCCTTCATGCATTCAGCTTAATGTGGGAACTCGCATCACTGAAATGGAAGGTCCTTCTGCTTCACCCTTTGGCAGTTACTTCGTCATCCTAACAACATGCTAATAAAAACTCTTGATCTGCTATTTGTCATTGTATGCAACATACATAGAGGGAAAAAGACTTTAATAGAGAAGGAACGAAAGTATTAAAAATCTGAATTCATGTATTTGTTCGCTCATTTCCTTCTTTTTATTTTATTTATTTTATAATTAAATTTATTGGGGTGGCATTATTTCATAAGATTACATAAGTTTCAAACGTACATTTCCATGATACTCAACAAACACTTTTGACTACCCATGGGACCCCTGGCAAAGCCCTAGGCACTGCAGCTATATCTGTGCAAAAGGCAAAGTATTTGGAAAATAACTGGACCTTGCTCTGCAGTCAGATACAAGACTATAAACAAATGAATAAATGCATAATGAATACATGTGTCTCTTAGTTCTCTAAGGTTGCCACACTAATTAACCACAAACTTGGTAGCTTAAAATAACAGAAATGTATTCTCTAACAGTTCGGGACCCACAAGTATGAAATCAAGGTGTCAGCACATTTTCTGAAGGCTGTAGGGGGAGAATCCTTTCTTGTCTTCTCCAGGTTTTTGTGCCTTGTGGTGATCCTTGGCTGGTGATAAATTAAACCATTTTCTGATGCTGTCTTCCCATGGTCTTCCTCTCTGTGTGTCTCTACATCCTCTCCTCTTTTTAAAAGGTCACCAGTCATTGGATTTAGGGCTCACCCTGATACAATATGACCCCAACTCAACTTAATTACAACTGCAAAAAGGCTATTTCCAAATAAGATCATATTCTGCAGATCCAGTGGACATGAATATTTGGAAGACACTATTCAACCCACTATAATGTGTAAACATATATCACAGACAATAGGAAGGACTATGAAGAAAAGAAGGAATCTCAGCTCAGATGCCACTGTATGTGAGAGCACAGTAGAGAAGAATCAGCACAAGCTGGAACCAAGCAAACCTAAAATTAAACAGTGGCTCTGCATCTTTCTACACGTGCCCATTTGCATTATTAGTGTATGCTTAAAAGGAATGAAGAACACTTAGCTCACAGAGCTTTTGAAAGAGTGGACTAAATAAAATATACCAAATACCTGATACATAGTAAGTGCTCAAAAAAATTAATTCCCTGCCCCTCTTCTCTCTTTTACTAAGTTTTCCTTGAACCTCAGGGCACTATTAGTTTCTCTCTCATCATGATTCCATAACATTATAACATGCCTTTAAAATAGCATTTACCAAACATATTACATGATTTCCCAATATAGAATGACTTGAGCAAAGCAAATCTGCTTCACTAATATTAGTATCCCCTGTGTTTATTAGAGTGCATGGATATACTAATTGAATAAACAAATAGATAGATAACTGAATAAACAAATGTCAGAGAAAGAAAACTATCACTATAATTTCAACCATACTTTCCTTCAACTGCATGTAGTCTCAGGACAGTATCTTTTACAATCATGGAGACAACATATATGCCAGTCTGATTCTCAGCACAGAAACAGGGAGAGAGCAAGTATGCCAACAAACACAAACAAAATTAGTGACAATCTCAAGTGATGCTGTCCTCTTAGTTGGAAACAAGAGCTTTAGGCTGGAGATAAAATAAGGGAACACGACTTCTCATCTTCAAATACTGAAAGAGTTATTCTGACAAAGTGTTGTTATGAACAATAGCCGTTTTATTTTTCCTCTGAGTATCTCCAGAAGAAAAATGGTGTCCTTTCAGTTGTAGGATCACAAATTTAAGCCCAAAAGGGTAAGAAAATTTTTAAAATTTAGAAAATTCCAAGACTGAATAGTTGTTTTTTGAGGTATAACCATCAATTTAGGGGACACACTCAGACAGTAATGAGACAGCAACTTGTCAAGAATAGTGTAGATGAAATGAAAGAGTTGAGTAATTCTTCTGTAAAACATTTATACATCTGAGTTCTATTATCTTGTTAACCACATTGTCCTGATTCAGAGTAATGGAATTTTTTATTTATTTATTTTTTGAAATACATTTGTCTCTGCCTACCCCCCACCACCTTCCATTTTCTTCACATTCCATATGAACACAATTCAAGATACCATAATGAATAAATAGACTTAATATTGAGAAGTTCTTGATCAATATCGCTGATAAAATTAATATTACTGATAAAATAGGAACAGGAAGGAGGAACAGACCATCAATTGACCCACAGAAAGTCAAGGTGCAGGACATTGTGGACCAGTCCTCTGAACGCTTTAGTCAACATGTGGTCCATGAATCGACAGCACCAGCATCAGCCAGGAGCTGGCCCAAGATGTAGACTTTGAGTCCGCACTGCAGTTCAACTCAATCAAAATTTGCATTTTCTCAAAATCCCCACATGATACACTCACATTAAGTCTTCTGAGCACTATCAGATTTGCTTACGTTTCTCTATATGAACCTTCCAGTGAATCACCTGTGTAAACAATGATAATTCTTGCCGTATGGTAGAATATTAAATATAAAATTGATTTGCCATTATGGCACAACTGTAGTTGTCAAAGTGTGACATAGTTTATCTCTCCAATAAATTTTTTATGGAAGATCCCTGTGGATTGTGTTTGTGACATTGGTTAATAAGTGTATATAGGTCCCAAGAGCATATTTCTATAAACCCTACACATTGCATTGTGTAACCACCACCCAGAGTCAAATCTTCTGTCACCATATATTTGACCCCCTTTACCTTTTCTTCTCCTGCTCCCCTTTCCTTCTCTGTGTCTATGAGTTTCAGTTTTATATCCCACATATGTACTCACTTACTTAAGGGTATTCTTTATGAACCTCCGTTAACTGTTTCAGAAGAAAGGATCATTTTCTAGAAGGAAGTTTGAAATTTTCAACTCCCCTTATGGTGGGAGCCTTTCCAAAGGGCATGACTTTCTAGGTACTTGGTAAAGGAAACAAATTTCCAATTTTGAAGAGGCTGGGAGTTAAGAGATATTTCTTGACCTGCACATTGATTCACATACTGCACAGAATAAAGGACATTTTCTTGGGAGTTTTAAATAATTTAGAGCCAAGTCCCCAAAGAACTAAAACCCCAAGAGTTTACCACCTGAAGGAACAAAATTGAAGTGATCTCAGTGGCATTTGAACCAAGCATTATTTCTGAATTGTGTCTTTTTCTTAAAGAGAGGATTCTTAAGAAAACAACGCAGGGTTTCTTTTCTCCTTTGGGATCCTTCTTTACCAAAAGAGAGGCCTCTTTTCTACCAGGGGGAATGACTCATTGAGCAACCAGAACCAGCTGGGTTGAAGTAATTTGCTGCCTGGAGTCTGCAGTCACATTGCCAGAGTGTAAAAATCTCAATTCCATAGTTTGAGCAAGTTTTAAATCTTTCTGTGCTTCATTCTCTTCATCTGTAAAATATACAATGGTTTATAGCTCACAGAGATGTTAGGAGAGTTTAATGAAGTAATACATTTAAAGCACTTATAAGAGTGTCTAGCACAGAGCCGGTGCTCATTGATGTAACTGATTCTTATTAAAAATCTAGAACACAGCTGGGGAGCTAATATCTAAGCATAAAAATAAAACAGTCATACAAAGTAACACTTGCTTATTTCTATGCAAAAATAATAAACAGTCACTGGACTCCAAAGCTGGAGTAGATGAGAAAATTTTCAAAAGAGGAATTGGCCAGGAAAGACAAAAATTTAGATAATTAAAGGTAAGAGGAAAGGTAATGAGATGAACAGAAGCAGGGGACCAGGAAGAGAAGCAAGGAAGTTGTTTGGGATGGAAGGGTCACACGAGAGAAAAGAAACTGGAGAGTCTAATGGAGTAGGTTGAAGTATCTCAAGGGCCACCTTCTCAGAGAACCTGATGGTTTATTCATCAAGAAGGGCTCCTCTCTCATCTGTCAACCTCCATAACATTTCATGGTAGCTCATTTTTAACTCCCATTGAGTATCTATCTTAGAAAATTGTCAATAACTGGTGTTGTGTAAGTGTTTGTTGAATTAGAGTGAGGTGTCCTCAAGCCAACAAATTCTGAAGAAGCTGTGAAGAGGCAAGGAATGAATTCTCCCCTTAAAGCCTCTAGAGGGAGCATGGCCTGGCCACCATCTTGCTCTGGGCCCAGTTTGCGGGGACGTGTTACAACCATAGTAAACTAATACACAGAAGAAAAGATATAATAAAAATCAGAGTGGAAATGAATGAAATAGAACACAGAAAAATAATAGAAAAGGCAATGGAATCAGAAGCGGTTTCTTTGAGAGGTCAATATAACCAAAAAATTTCTTGCCAGATTGATCAGAAAGAAATCACCAATATCAACCATTAGAGAGGTGACAATAGTATAGTTTTTACTATAAGTGAAAGTGGCCTGTGGACTATACCCTAAGAATCCCAAAACGCCAATTCAAAAGAACCTATGCACCCTA